CGCGCTGCAGGCGCGGTTTCCTCCTGGCCCGGCCCCCTCTGCCCCCACACCCCGCGGCTGTGCGCCCCGGTGTCCCTGCCCTCCCCCATGGTCCTGCCTTAAGGGTCAGGTCTCCAGCACTAATGCCCCCCCTCCCCACACACACACGGGCAGGGGCTGCGGGCCGGGATTGAGGGGCGCCATCAAGGCACCCCCAGGACGAGCCCCGCCCCCATCACAGGAAGCCAAGAGGACGGTCCCAGTCTTTATTGCCGCCCCGCGCTCGGGGAGGGGGGGCAGGCCGTGTCCTGTGCTCGGGGCATTTGCTCCCAGGCCTTGGCTCCACCCTGCGGGGGGGTCCAGGCAAGCACGTGGCGAAGGCGAAGGCGCAGGCGTGGCGGGATCTGTGCGCGGAGGACTCAGGTGTCCGGCTGTCTGCGGCTCCGGGATCCCGGTGTCCGGGGGCCGCTGTGCTGAAGGCCGCAGGAATCGGGTGGCCACGCGTGTGAGGACCCAGGCGTCCGGGCGCGTCTCAGGAGAGCAGCGGGGCCGTGAGCCAATAGGCAACGAAGGGCTGGAGGGCGGCGACCGCCAGGGGCAGGTAGCTCCGCCCCCGCCCCGCCCCCCGCGGGGCGCCGAGTCCCTCAGCCGGGGACAGCTTCGTGCGCAGGGACCGGGCCTGGGGGGAAGGGGTTTCAAACACGGCCCTGTCCCCAGCATCAGCCCTGGGCCCAGGCAGGGCTCCGGGGCGAGGGGTCGGGGCTCAGAGGCAGGCTCACCAGGAAGTAGGCGAGGGCACAGGAGGCTCCGCCCCCGCCCCGCCCCCCGCGGGGCGCCGAGTCCCTCAGCCGGGGACAGCTTCGTGCGCAGGGACCGGGCCTGGGGGGAAGGGGTTTCAAACACGGCCCTGTCCCCAGCATCAGCCCTGGGCCCAGGCAGGGCTCCGGGGCGAGGGGTCGGGGCTCAGAGGCAGGCTCACCAGGAAGTAGGCGAGGGCACAGGAGGTCCAGGCGAAGAGCACGTGGAAGCCGTCGGGCCCCAGCACCAGCCCGCCCAGCACCGCCAGCAGCATCCTGAGGAAGG